AGAACGGGGACGCCTCCGAGCTGGCCCGCGACTCCTACTTCTACGCCGTGTCCGACCTGCAGGTGGGCGGGCGCTGCAAGTGCAACGGCCACGCGTCCCGCTGCGTGCGCGACCGCGACGACAGCGAGGCCAACGAGTGCGTGGGTAAGTCCGCGCCCGGGCCGCCTGGAGCGCGCCCCGGGGCTCCGGGGAGAGGGGCGAGGCGCGCTGCCGTCCCGGGGCTCCCCGCACCCCTGCTCCCGCAAGCGCTGCTCTGTGCCCGCGCCACAAGCGCCGCTGCCTGCCCCGGCCGTCCCGCCGGGCCGCGCTCCTCGCCAAAGCACAGAGAAGAGAAGGGGCCCCGCCAGCCCGAGTTTGCGCCTCCCCGGCTCTCACGGACGGGACAGTCCATCAGACCGTTTCTCCGGGGCTCTGCAGAGTGCCTCGGCGCGGACGGCCCGTGGTTTTTTCGAGGCTGATTTGATGTGAAATGAAGGAGCTGCTGCAGTTGTGCGCGATGGGGGGGGAGAGGGAAGGAGGGCTGGTGCCATTCTGTCATTTCTGTCTCATGCAGAAACACCGTCCCAGTCGGTAATGCTGCCGGTAACTAATAACTTGAATAAGAACAAGGCTGAATTGAAAAACAGCAGTGTGCTTGGGGAATGATCCTTTTGCGCCATCTGAGGCAGATACGTGGATGCTCTTGGCTGTAAGCGATACCGAGAACCTAGCTTAGCCCCTAAGAAAGAGTCCTACAGTCCCTAGAAGCAGTTCTAGAATAGCCTTCCTCGACTGACAGGCAAAAGGTTGCTGTCACCTTGAAGGGGAGGTAATGCATTCAGAGGTGCTTTTCTGCAGAAGATATCAAAGCTTCACATGTTTCAACATCTTTCCCTTGTCAGGGTGGATTTGATGTTCAAGAAGGCAAGGGCACTAGCAACAATTACACCAGTGTAAGGTGGGCGCACACAGTTCTGAGGGCTTCTCACTATTCCAGTTTATGACCCCCACCGCTTCCACAAAGCTCCTCTTCCTAACCTCTGGCAGTCCTGTTATTTTAGTCGTGGGATCCCACACAGCTCTGGCCACACACTTCAGTCCTGATCTGCAGCACCTCCTTGTATTCTGGTCCTGATCCATCTCAGCCCTGGCAGTGCCCCTTAATCCTGGTTGCTAGCATATCAGCAGTTCTAAGCTTCCTCACCCACCTGCACCTCTGAGCTAATTCACCCTGTCCTGAAGGGATTTTCACTTTTGTCTCTCACCCAGCTTCCAGTACAGCTCTATCCTAAGGTGCAGAACTCCCTCTTTACTGGTTTTGTATTCCACCACCA